GTCTTGAACCCGCAGGCTCAGGCAATCCACTCACCTCGGCCTCCCAAAGTGCTGGGATTACAGGCTGAGCCACTGAGCCCGGCCGACAACACAGATTTTAAAAACCTGCAAGACAGCTGCAAGGGGCAAAGCAAAAAACAGCAGCAAAGGTCAGCAGATGCTGAGGCCACAGTTTTGCCCCTCAGTAACTATAGGACTCTAGTCACATCTCTTTACTACAAAGTGGGATAACACCTCCTACCTCACAGAGCCATATATTTTATATATTCCTACCTTATTCCAGGAAGGATTTACCAAGGCTAAACGGGAGTAACAATAATACCTGTCTTAAAGCCCTGGTGTGAGGGCTACATATGGTCATGCATGTGCAGGCATGGCCCAGGCCTGGGACATCTCAACAACTCCACAGTGCCAGCTGCTGCTCAAGTGCAAACCCAACACCTCATCTCAGCCGGGCAACAGGATCCCCCACAGTCCACGCAATAAAAATGTGCAGGCATCGCTCAGGCCTGGGACATCTCAAGAGCTCCGCAGTGCCAGCTGCTGCTCAAGTGCAAACCCAATACCTCATCTCAGAAGGTCAACAGGACCCCCAGCAGTCCATGCAATTAAAAAGAAGCAAACTAGCTGACTGCTTAGAAGCACAAGACTGCTCCCGATCATAATCACCGCTGGTTATTATATGATTCCTCTGTGCCAGGCACTGTGCTATGTACTTTACACTTAATGTTTCTCTATCTTGTGAGGTAAATGTTATCATCTTTATTTTACCAAGGAGGAATTGAAGAACTGAATTTCAGAGAGGTTAAGTATTTGTTCAAGGTCACAGGGGAAGAACTGGGATTTACAGAGGAAATCCTGGATTTGAGGTCAGATAAATAAATTTAACCTGTGGAACCTCACAGAAGGATGTTAATTAGGACAGGAATGATGCTCTCAACATTTATCTGTACATATATGCACAGGACAGTTTCATAGGGCTGTTTCTTATAGCAACCTTCAAATTATTCACTAAAGCACAATGCAGTAAAATCATCTGGAAAGCTGGATCCAGGTGGGGATGGCAAGGTGAAGGAAAAGGGAGAACCATTTCCTAGAACCCAGGCCCACAGCTCTTAGGTGGCCTGCCTTAATCCACAGGTACACTTTAGTTTACAGATTACTTCAAAAATACCATTAAGTTTACTTATTATGTTTACTGTCTGCCTCCCTGCTGGAATGCAAGCTCCACGAAGACAAGAATTCTCTGCTTTGTCCAGTCACGTATCTCAAATTCTTAGAACAGTGCCTGACATATAGTAGCAGCTCAAAATTTAATGAATGGATCAAATGAACAAAAATTGTGTTAGAAAAAAAGGAAGAATGAGAACTCTCGTACTCTGCGAGTGGAAGTGCAAACTTGTACAGTTCCTTTGAAAGTTATTTGGCAATGTCTAGTAAAATTGAAAATGTACCCAGTAATTCTTCTAGTTAAATATCCTACAGAGAAATTCTAGTACAGGTATCAAAGAAGACACCTAAAAGTTTTTCACTATAGCAATGTTTGTAATAGTAAAATAGCTATAAATTATTTAAATGTCCATCTCTGGAAGAATGAATAAATACACTAAATGAAGTAGATTCATAAAATCGACTATTGGGGAGTAATGAGAATAAACTAGATTCTTATACTAACATAAATGGTTCTAAAAAGCACAATGTAAGCAAAATCCAAAATAAATCTAGGAAAATTTAAGGCCAGGTGTGGTGGCTCATGTCTGTAATCCCAGCACTTTGGGAGATCGCCATGGGAGGATTGCTTGAGCCTAGGAATTTGAGACCGGCCTAGGCAACATAGTAAGACCTCAATTCTAAAAAATAAAAATAAAAAAATTCGCCAGATGTGGTGGCATGTGCTTGTAGTCCCACCTACTTGTGAGGCTGAGGTAGAAGGATTGCCTGATCCCAGGAGATCGAGGCTTCAATGAGCTGTAATCCATGCCAATGCGCTCCAGCCTGGATAACAGAGTTAGACTCCAACTCAAAAAAAAAAAAATTAAAACACAAAAATAGTATTGCACACTGTTCAAGGATATCTATTAATATATTTGAATGTAAAAGTATAAAAAATAGTGGTTGCCCAATGGGAAGGGAAAAAGGATATAAGACAGGGGTCTTAAAATTTATATATAATTTCTATTTGTCTTATTTTTAAAAGACTCTAGGCAAATAAATGCTAACTACTACCAATCTGGGGTGCTGAGTACCCATATGCTTGTTATAACAGTCTAATTTTCTGTATTATTAAATTTCAAACAAAAAAAAAAAATAGAGGGGAAAAAAGACCAGCAAGTTTTTTCCTGATAAAACAAAATACTCATGTCTGGATGTGGTTGAACTCTGGCAGTGTAATGTTTAAAGCTTTTTATTCTCAAACTTATTTTAAGTGTTGTGAGAACAAAGGAACATGCTGGTGGGCTTAAAGCTTGGGCTTTTATCTGGTTTTGAGTAGCTACTTTCCACCAGATCCACAACATGTGTGCTGGAGGGGTCTGACACTGTTTCTTGTTTGCTCTCTCTCATTTGGACCCATCCTTCTCTTACATATGACTTCTACTTCTTTTTTCAAGTCGAAGTCTCCCTGTGTCACCCAGGCTGGCATGCAGTGGCATGCTCACAGCCACTGCAGCCTCAACCTGCTGGGCTCAGGTGCTCCTTCCACCTCAGCTTTCCAAGTAGCTGGAACTACAGGCGTGTGCCACCATACCCAGCTAATTTTTTGATTTATTGTAGAGAAGAAGTCTTACCAAGTTGCCCAGGCTGGTCTCAAATCCCTGGGCTGAGGCAATCGGATCAACTCTGCCTCCAAAGTGCTGGGATTATAGGTGTGAACCACTGCAACCTGTGGCTCCTTTTTCCCTTTCTTTCTTCCCTCAGGTCCCTACCACAAAAGCTCTGTGCGGAGAGTCACCGGTTATCTGGAGGCTTGGTGCAGGTTGCGGCTCTGACACTAAATTGGCATGTGATTCTGCACCTCAACAATCTCCTCTCTAACCAAGACAACTGTCTTGCCTGGAGGAAAACAGAGCTCTCCATCGCAGTCCTTTCTGCTATTTCTCTGTCCTAGCATTTCTGGAGGACTACAGATATGCAGAGCCTCCCACCTTAATCTCACCTCTGCTCTTTGTCTTTGCTTCAGCTCCTGTTGGGCTGACTTCTGTTTAGCCTTCTCCACTCTGCTGACTGGCTCTTTGACTTTGGGTTTTTCTTTACGTGCAGGTGGATCCATGGCTTTGGCTTCTGGATATCTTAGTCAGTTTTGACCTGGGTGGTACAGAATGAGGTAGATCTTTAAAAAATAACTGCTGGTCTCTTGCCTAACTAATCCCTAGGTTCAGTCCTTCTCTTTGCCAAGTGAGGTAGACAGAGTGTCCTGGTGGCAAGGGCGCTGGATTTGGGAGAGTCAGACCTGAGTCCCAACGCCACCACCTCAATGGGTGTCTCGGGGCAAGTCTCCTCCCACTCTGAGCCACAGTTTTCCGTCTGCAAAACGGGACAACAGCTCCCTCCCTGGCCTCCCTCCAAGAGAGCTGCTGTGCGAGGATCAAATGGGAAGACCCAAGACCCATGAGATAGAGTTTCATACGCTGCAGCGTGCTGTACCCAGCGCAGGACACTGAGGCGCAGAGGATAGGCCAGCCGAAGTCTCGCACCCGTCTCTGACCCTCCAGCTAGGGCTTTCCCACCGCTG